GTCAGATGTTTATAATTTGTCATACACGGATACCCTATCATGGCTTTCCTGTCAATGTCTGCAGCGTACAAGCAGATTTAATGCAGATCTGCTAATGATTTCAGGATATGTATGATTTTATGGCCGTGGATAGACCATCAACACCACGAATAGATCGTGGAATTGCATTGCATAAGATGATCAGACTTATTACTATGGGATTGGGTGGAGAAGGATATCTCAACTTCATGGGAAATGAATTTGGCCACCCAGGTAAATCTGATGATTTTTTTTACTGTATTAGTATACATTTGATCGAATTTTGCAATTTTCACATCGGATCTTTAAGTTCTGTACGGTCGCTGATTCGACTTTTGATACATTTCAGAGTGGATAGATTTTCCACGAGGGGATCAACATCTTCCAACTGGTAAAATTGTCCCAGGAAACAATAACAGTTATGATAAATGTCGGCGAAGGTTTGACTTGGTATATTCCTAACTTACAGTAGCTTCATTTTGTAGTGAAACATTTTTGTTTGTCTATAAGCCATTTTGGTATGATTCCTTATGACGATTCATGTTAGCCGACCCCAAATAATTTCTTACTAAGGCTTTGTTGTTGTTGTTGTTGTTGTTGTATTTTGGACAATGTTGACTTCTATACAGTTTATCAAGTATTATTCATTTTTTCTGAATTTTAAGCATAAGTCACTATCTGTTTAGCACATAAAATTGATTGGCCAAGAGATAATTTTCTTAATGTCTATGAAATTGGAAATTGTCAATTTTAATAGTAGTTCTAGTGCTCAGGTTAGCTGAAACAATAGCAACAAAGTTGATGCTTGTGTTTTTGATTGATTGATTGGGTTTTGTCAAATTTTGTACGGTGGTGTCTTTGGGCGTTGGAGATGATGCAATATACTACAAAAATTAGGTGCAAACTGTAATTATTGATAATCCCTTCATGACTCAACTTAACTGGCCTTTGCAACTCACAGAGGCAACCCTTCCTTTTACTGAAATAAAGAGTGATGAATGATAGAACATAACTCAACTTGAAATTTCAAAAGTTTTTGCTAAAATTTCCTTGACAGAATCCCATTATAAGAGAGGAGAGAAAGGGGATTGATTTTTGCACAAGCTGTCAAGAAAGTAGAAAATGTTGTTAGTGTTCTACAGCAAAACAAGCTAGGATAGGAACTAGATTGGTCTTTGTTACAAATATCATGGAGATGAAACTCAATAGGAGATGAAACTTTTGAGCAAATGAAGTTCTGCCTGTTTGTGGAATATGTGCTATAATCTATCCATCCTAATAGCTTTTTATTTTTTGGTGTATTCAGGGTGATGCAGACTATCTTAGATATCGTGGACTGCAAGAATTTGATCAAGCTATGCAGCATCTGGAAGAAAAATATGGTGTATGTTTTCTTACATATTCTTTTAAAGAAAGCTATTTGCTTAACAGGATGTCATTCTGTGTCTATACCAGGGATGATCTATACCATAGCCAAAGCCAGGAATAGGATGGGATGGGGGAATCATATACAATATACTTCGTACAATTTATAGTGGATGACCTTTACCTTACCCAAAACTAGGGACTATACACACACACACACACCAAGCTCACACTGTGTGTGTATATTCTTTGACTTTTATAGAAGTGCTGAACACTTTTCCATTTAATCTTTCCACATCCACATTATGGTGATCATTGAACATTTGGTACATTGTGGTGATAAGTGAACAGTTGTCACATTTTGTATGAACTGCCTCGGACCACGCTGCTGCAGCAAAAGAACATTGGAAAGAAAATACTAGAAGCGTACATTACTCTCATGCATTAAACACACTTATTTTATATCAATAAGTTCATGCAAAGCTATTATTTATCCTTAATCCCATGTCTAGCATACCTACCTTGAACAACACAAAACACGTTCATTTCTGACCGCATAAGAAATGCGTGAACCCCTGTCTTCAAATTGAATGCTAAGTTGTCACATTTTTTCAAATCCAGGGATCATGTTGGCTAATATTAGCCTGCCCTCTGGTGATCTGTGATGATAGGTATTTAATCACCTTATCCATACCAAGCTTTGATTGGGACTCAGGAATCAGATGTCGTAGCAATTAGTCTTTCGTCAACCAACTAAAATGTTCTATGCACTTGTCTTATCTCTGCAAATTCTATCTTAATTAGTCCCAAAGAAAAAGTCCTTGTGTATCTTCTTGTTGGCTGTAATAACTTTTTGGGTCAGCAGAAAAATAGAATCTCATAAGTCTTGGACACGAGTTTAGGAAGAAGACCAGATTGGGTACAGCTCTGCTCCTTCCCCTCAATGGCCTTTACAGAAGGAAGCTGATTGATTCATTTTTAGTATTATGAGGGACGGTAAAAAATATAATGCAAGTAGCAGAATTATTATAGAACTGGTACTACTCGTACTAGCATCTGAAAGGAAGTTAACAGACCTATAAATGACTTGGTTGAAGATTTTGTCAATCAAAGGTATGAACAATACTTTTGTGAGGTGAGGGAGTTTTTGTATATTATTGGATGTGGTAAGGAGACAGTAGAGATCCCTCTCCCCCTGGGATGGCCAATATCTGTAGACATCCACCACTATTAGTGGTTTTGAATTATATGATCCTTTGAATGCCCCCCCCCCCTCCCCTCCTTCAGCAATTATGAGATGTTCATTAACAGTTTCTAGATGTGTGATCCAAAAGAGCCCCATATTGCTACACTTTGAATTGCATGAATTCCTTCCTGCCTCTAGCAGATCTAATCTTGAGATTTAAGAATTAAGAGTCCCAAAAAAAAACACTTAGTAAGTGCATGGGATACACATGCCTCAAACCTAGCTGCTAGAAACTGATTTTTTGTACATATGTCTCTGTTTAAGGCTTATGGGATTAAGGCTTTGATTGATTGATTGATATGTCTCTGTTTAAGATTAATGCATATTAGCTTCTGCTCTATTCTTTCTCCAATATGTTGCATATCCTGGTTAAGGAAAACCACATGACAATGAAGTCAACATTATAGATTATTTCTGTATCTTTTGCAGTTCATGACTTCAGAGCACCAGTATATATCACGTAAAGCCGAAGATGATAGGATCATAGTCTTTGAAAGGGGAAATTTGGTGTTTGTTTTCAATTTTCACTGGTCGAGTAGCTACTTTGATTACCGGATTGGTTGCTTGAAGCCAGGGAAATATAAGGTATGCTTCTGAATTTAGGATATGTGATTGTTCATTCTGTTACTCTAATTTAGTTTGTAGTTTCTTATAATACTCCCATTCAATTGTTAGTGTATGAGACTAATACCTTCTATAGACTTCTGAAAGGAGTTAGTTTTCGATTGTTCATTAATGAATTGCCAAGTTAGAATAAGGAACTGTTTGGCAAAGCATAATTTATGATGGAAGAATTTTCTTGTGTATTCAACTAGCTGCATTAGGTTCAACCGTTCAATTTGATTTTATCCCCTTTTTTTATTTTTTTTTATTTTTTATTTTTTTGTAGTGGGACATCATTAAATTTTCATAGAATCTTGAAATAGCATACATTTATTCAGTTGGCTGTGGTATTGAGACTGGAGTGTAACTTTACATTCTTAATCAAAAGAAATATTATTCCTTGAAGGCTTAAAAGATCTTGGTCATTATGAAAGGGAATTATATGACCTCTTATGTCTGCAAGAATTAGTATAATTTAAAATTTTCAAGCAGCTTATCTTATGGTAAATCTTCAGAGAAGTGTAGTTCTCATCATTCTTCAGAATTGCTGAAAGTTCTGTCATAACTAGATGGTTAAACCTGTGCTGTTATTTTGCAGATTGTTTTGGATTCAGATGATCCATTGTTTGGTGGATTCAACAGAATTGACCACAATGCTGAACACTTCACTTTTGTAAGATGATATTTTTTTGTGTACAAGCATGTTTCTTGTATTTTATTTTTTATTTTTGGAATTTTGGGGGGCGGGGTGAAAGTGAATTTTTATGTGAACTGAGTTCTCTCAAAGGCAGTAGTGATATCCATTGCTAATCATGCTACATAAACTTACTTCTCGTGTCAATTGAAACTTACTAAAACACGGTGTGCAGGATGGATCGTATGATAATCGACCTTGTTCCTTCTTGGTATATGCTCCTAGTAGGGCTGCAGTGGTGTATGCTCTAGTAGAAGATGATGCAGAAACAGCTTCAGATGATCTTGTAGAAGATGATACAGTACTAGCTATGCAGGATCTAGTAGTTGAAGATGACGCAGAACCAGCTGAAGATTAAGCTTCATTTGCAGATTTATTATCTAGAATAATGTAGTGGGATATAGAAGAAGGGTCTTGGTTCTGTTGTGGGCATTTTCATGGCAGCTTGCACTCAAAATCACATTTAGGGGCTACAGTAGTTGCTGTGAGTCCACTGATAGACTGCTTCATAAATACAGAATGAAGACTTCGAAAAAGCAGAAGTAAAATAACGAAGCATTGCAGAATGAGCGCAAGGGCTTAGAAGGCTGTTCTCTGCCCTTATAAGCCTCTGTAAATGTTTATAGTATCTTTATGTAAATTATGTCAAGGATATATATATATATAAAAAAAAATAGGGTTTTAGAAATACCAGAATAAGTTTGTCTTAGAGCTTTTATCCTATTATCTATGCAAGGCATAGCTTTTGCTTCAGGATCATTCTTTTTATAGCATAATATAACGTCGTAATTATTCTGATAATACCATCTGGCAGAGCAACATCTCGTTCCTTTTTTCTTCCATGACGTCGAACGGTTTTAACAAGCATTCAGGGCATCAAGTATGGAGTACTTCAAATTTAGGGAAGCTCAAGTTGTGGCATCATGCTGCTAAATCTGTCACTGACTTTCATTTGTATCCTTTAGTATTATTATACTTGATCTTGTAGTGGCTGAAAATTCAATCATACAAGCAAGATTTATTGACATTCATGAAAAAAAAATGTCAATCAGATTACTCTTGGATATTATTTAATTTGTGATTTCTTAATCTTTCATAGATGACACTAAAATGTACTCAGGTGAAATTAAAATGGTATGATGCAGATAATAAATACAGATGTGGCGAACTCTGCTACATCATACAAGAGCCAAAACAGCAGCTTACACACCTGCAGGCTGCAGTTTATGTCTTGTGGGGTAAGTTTAGTGTTGTACTGTCCTAAACATACAAGATGGGGAAATAAAAGACCAATAGATTATGCATAAAATTCAAAGAACTCTTTATTTTTATTCTCCAGAAAATTAAAAAAAGAAAAAAAAAAATGAAATCTGGATCATCTTCAGGCACTGACAAAGTTAGTGTCAGGAGCAGAGCAACGAGGTAGCTGATGTAAAACACTAGTGGGAGATGAGTTGCTTGATGATCTCAAGGCTTCAGCTAATGGACCTCCCATTGAAGCCACAGGATTTGCTCCCCACCCACCGGCACTCCAATTCAATTGGTGAGCTCGTTCTCTCTCGTCATTCCCATAACTATCCCTCAGACCCTGCTCATCGCCATTCCCGGTTGACAACCTCAGGAAATCCGATGTTGGGTTTCCCGGTGTTGATATTGAAAGTCCTGTCGATGATGAAAGATTGTTTCCTTCGCCATTGTCAGATCTTGGCCAGTCGTCAAAGAATTGCATTAACACCTTGCTGCTATTAGCATTAGATTTTCCACCATCCCCAGATGCTGATGATGATTCATGTTGAGGTCCAAATAGAGCTTTGTTGTCAGATGACCTACTAAAAAAACAAAACAACATGTGAGATGATAGACCATATGTTAAAGCAAGGAACAAAACAAAAAAACAAGAGGGAATCTAACAGTACAGTACAAGTAAAGCACAAATGGCAGTTGCTTCCTGAAAGAGGTGGCTTAAGTCAGGTTTTATCAGAATCAAATTTTCTTGTCCAGTAGATTTTAGCATAGATTTCTTCAGCCTTGCCACTCCCCTTTTCCCCCACCACTCAAAGTGAGATGCAGAATCAAATTTCCTGCTGTTAAAAATCATCCTGTACATCTATCAAAGTTTCGCCTGAACAAAATCACCCACCCACAAAAATTAATTGATTTTAAAAAAAGTCACAGAATTACACCCGTGGAAACTGACATGACTTGAGATGACCTAACCCAAACCCGAACAATTCCAATTATAGAAGTACTAAGACTCCAATTAGTAGATCTCTATTATGGAGTATAAGTAAATTGCCACTTGACAAACTCAAACTTATACACGACTCAACCAAAAACCAAATCAAAATAATTACAACTTGATCTGAATCCAATCTGATTGATACTTAAATTAGTATAAATATAATAGATTATGCAAATATACGTACGGAGCGTAACATATAGAGTTATGCATAAATATAATGGTCCCCAGTGATTCCTATATTTTCTACTACCAACATGTGTCACACAACAAGCCATATTTAATGTAGAAAATGAAGTAGATCTCTCTATTACTCGGACCACATTGAAAGTATCAACTAGTACAGCACAAGAGGATGTTAAGCACGCTATTCTTTGTACTACTATGCGACCAAAAAGTGCACCTCAAATGAAGGGCAATGAATAACCACTAACATCAATTAAGGGTTTAATAACTTCAGAATTAAGCCAAAACCATCCTAAAAACCTTAAATGGGACCATAATTTGGCACCATTAACTCAACAATTCATTGCATCAGCAAGTTGGACCAATTACTATGATCAAAATGAAGTATGTACAATAATAACTCGATTTCGAAATCATCCAAAAAAACAAGAAAACATTGTAACAGAATAGTCCATACCCTGGATTAAGGTGGAAGGCATCAAGAGACGAAGCCCCTGATCTAGAGAGCGAAAACCGAGTTTCTGCACCAGCAGATCCAGCAGCAAAGGCAGTAGCAGCAGCAGAAGGCTTATTCAGTGATCCAACAAGAGCATTACTAGCAGAAACAGAAGCAGTAGCAGTAGCAGCAGCAGGAAATTCCACAGGCTTTCTTGAACGATTGCGGCCACGGTGCATGTGGCGCTCGCAATACTTGTGACCAGCTACCACATCCCTTGAACACCTCCATTTCTTCCCATCTGTTCTCCTACACCGCCCCGGTTCCGGATCCATTGCTCCTTTTCCCCAATACCCTGCTTGCAGCACTACTAATCATTATATACACACATACTCAAAATCAAGAAAAGATGACAAATTCAAGAAATCATAACCAAATGACCCCAACCAATATATCATCATGAAATATATAAAAAGTTCACACTTTTCACCAAATTCATGTTTTTGTTTTTCTTGCACATACACCAACAGACAACATTGGAAAAAGCACTTATTATCAAAATAATTTCATATAAATGAGCTTAAATTGGCATATTATAATGATTAGAGTAGAAACTCACAAGCAGCAGCAGGCTGAAAATGAGGTGAGTAATGATGGAGATAATAAGGTGCATTAGAGGAAGTAAAGAGGCTCTTCTTAACCAGTTGAAGAAGTTCAGCAGGAACAGATGCACCAGCAACCATGTGTCTGTATATTAGTGCTTGTAGCTCTAATTCTTGCCATTGTGCTAAGCTGAATGAATACCTTCCTCCGGACCCTATTTTCACAACAACAATAAAATGGTCAAAATCCAAAATGTAGTAATTAGTCATAGAAATCCGGCAAATGGTCCGGAATCATTGGTCGCATTGATAATGTAATTTGAACTAGTGATGTGACAACTAAATTTGTGCAACTGATTTGATAACATTGAGGGAGAAATAATGTAGTTTTGTGAAACCCAAGAAATTTTCCGCAAAGGTTTGAGCTTCTAAGTACTGACACTTTTCTTTGTACAAGGAACTGAACAGTGGAAAGGTAAAAACAGAAGAAAACAGAGTAATAATCAAAGAGGGGAATAACTGATCATCACTATTAGGAGTAGACTATTGATGTGTTCAGCTTGACAAATACTTGAAGATAAATTTTGTGGCAATATGTACATCATTAAACACAAATATTATATTAGAAAAATAGAATAAGAATGTAATCTTTTGATACTTTTGATCCATGAAAACACAAAGAAAACAGGGGAAAACAGAGTATGATAAAGATGGGAAAAATTACTTGGAAATCTGGTGGGAATTGCAGTGGGAGGAGTAGAAGAATGGTGATCAGGGTAAACAGACAAATGGGTGTTTGTGATTTTATTGTCTTGGGATTCAGAAGACACAAACAAAGGAAGAGCAGCAACTTCTTGTTGTTGTTGCTGGTGTTGGTGGTGGTGATGTTGTTGGGGAGAATCAAGGAGCAAATATTTTGGGATTTTGGCAGAGTTTTGCTGATGTTCATCCTCTGACTCATGCTGCTGCTGCTGATCTCTCCATTGCTTCAGAATGAAGTCCATGTAGAGAGAGAAAGTAGAAAGAGAAAGAGAGAGAAGAGGAGGAAAGAGTTTAGAAGTTGTAAAATCAGCTGAATTTATGGTAATTGGTGGGGGTGTTTGTTTGTTAATTGAGTTAGATTTTTGGGGGTTTTTTTACAAGTTTTGTGTCATTGTGTGTGGCAGATGGGGGTGTGTGGGTTCTTTTATAACTTTTGCAGGTAAATGCACACTGCAACGGTAGACAGAAAGATGTGTTTTAGTGTGAGAAAGTAGAGAGATAAAGGGGAGTCTCTAGTCTAGACTCTAGAGCACTTGTGAAGTAAGATACAATAGTCAGACTAGACAGTTGAGAGAGAAGACTGACTTAATACTCAACTAATTACTTCTACTTTAATTAATTTCTGATTTTTGTTTTAAAGATGTTTCAAATCAATACTCTCTCCATTTTTAAATAGTTGATTCATTTCTCTACATGTAGAGTTTTTGAAAAAATTAGATAAAATAATAAAATATGGAGGTAGTGGGTTAGGTGAAAAATTAAAAATTAGGAAAAAAAATAAAAAATAAAAGGCAATATGACTTATATTGGGTCCATTGTCCTAAAAAAAAAAAAAAAAAAAAAAAACTTATGTTGGGTCCATTAGTTAAAAGAAATGAATTTCCTCAAAAAAAAAAAGTTAAAAGAAATGAATTAAATATTGTAAAACTTTCCAAATAAGGAAATAGAGCAAGTTTATAAAAACTCTCAAAAATGAAAGCAAGTATTTAAAAACAAAGGGAATAACGTTTTCTGTCTTTATTTGTATATATATATAGATGGGCATGGGTCGTGCCTGCACGTGGGCGGCACGGGCCCGGCACGGTACGATCGCCGACACAGCACGGCACGGCGGCCCACCTGTGGGCCGTGCCGTGAACAAAAATCTGGGAATCGGCACGAGGCACGGTGGTCGGCCCGTGGGTCGGCACGCCGGCACGACACGTGGCACGGTCTGGCACGGCAGTGGTAATTTAATTTTTATTATATGTATTGTTGTTTTTTGCTAAATTAATAAAATTATTTATATAAACTTAAACATAATTAGATAAATAAATTTTATAACTTTAATTAAAATAAAGTTTGTTCAAAACAAAATATATTAACATTAACATAAACATAAATTAATAACATTATTTATATAAAATTAAGTTGTACTACAAAATATTTATATATCGTTTTTTATTTACGTTCATTTAGAAAAAAAAAAAAAAAAAAAAAAAAAAAAAAAAAGTGGCACGGTTTGGCCCGCGGCCCGGCACGGCACATCCCACGCCGTGGGTTGGGGTGTGCCAAATTAAGGCACGGCACGGCACGTCGCGAAGCCGGTACGGCACGGCACGCCCACCACCGCGGCACGGCCAGGCACGGCCAGCGGCGGCACGACACGGGCCATTGCCCATGTTTATATATATACCTTGTTGCTCCCATTAACAGCTTTGATTAATACTCCCTCTATCTCTATTTTTTATTTCATTTGACTTTTTATGGTCTACAAGACGTGTCTTAAAACGCTTATAACTTCGTAAAATTATAAATTAGGTATTAATAAAATATATGATGAGACGAATCCAACAAAACCCCATTTGACTATATTATTTCTTATATATTAAAGAGAATTTACAGTTTAAGAGGATTCAATTATTTGGAATGAGGCAAATAAAATAAGAATAGAGGGAGTAAGACATTGTTTGGCATGTGTGTCTTGGTTGTTTCTCTTAGCTGGTCTGATTACTTATTTGTATTGACTTTTTTTGTTGGTTGTTTGGCTATTGGACCTAGATATATAAGTTTGATAAAGTTGGTTGTTGGCTACTTATGTAACACAAAATTGTAATTGTAAGCATTAATAGCCCACACAAAAACACTTTTTTTTGGTGGAAAAATTGGTTTTTTAGCACCCAAAAAAAAAACATATATTTTGATTGTTTAACTATATTCAAAGTAAAGTAAAAAGACATTACCAAATAACCATTAACTCTTTTAATTGAATTGATCCTTAAACAAAATTAATTACTCCGTACCAAATAAGTCCAAAGTATAAAACTACGAAGTAATTTTGACTTTTTGAGACACTAACCATTAACTCTTTTAATTGAATTGTTCCTTAAACAAATCTTATTCACTTGCAAAATTTTGACCTAAACTTTAATCAAATATATATGTGACAGGGAAAATAATACTTGTAAGAAATGAGAAGAGTATAACATTGTAATTTCTACGGATTATCAATATTTTGTCTTTGATTTTTCATAAAAGATAGAACTCGAACTCAAGTCCTCTCCACTTTTTCTCATTTCTTGAATTTGGCGTTTAATGATTTGCAGTAATTAAATGAAATGGAGTACAGAGTACAACTTTTTTTTTTTTAATAAAAAATTTAGAATTTTGTTTGAATCAGAGAAGATAACTCCTGCAGGCTGTTCCCTCCCTTTCCTTTTATCTTTACATAGGGAGATGTGACAAAGAAAGGCATAAATTCAGGAGTAGGAAAATCTAAAATAGCTAAGAAAAAGAGAGAAAGAGACCTATGCTTTGTTACCATGCTAATATTGACAGTTACATTACATTTGCATACCATACTCCCAACTCTAAATGACCTTTATGAAAGTGCAGTTTTTTTTTTTTCATTGACATGTTCACTCAATCAAAACTACAGAGTATTGTTCAATTTTAAACTGCAAGAATGAAGGATAATACAAGTGCAGGTACGACCTCCTTATTTTAAGCTTTTAGGCATGTAGAACATAGTAGGGTAGGTTTCAGTAGAGCAAAAAAAAGTAGATTGAGGGTCTGTTCTTTTACTTTGAAATTCAGTTCAGTTCAGCTCAGTTCAGTTCAATTCAGCTCAGCTCAGTTCAGTTCAGTTCAGCTCAGCTCCTAATTTCCTTCTCTTATAATATATTCATTTCAGTTCAGCTCAATTCAGTTCAGTTCATTTCAGTTGAATTCAGTCAATGAGAACATGCCCTGAGTCAGTAGAGCAAGGTATAGCAAATTGAGTCAACAAAGTATGGCTCAATAGAGCAGATTTTAGCAAAATAGAGCAGATTTTAGTAGAGCAGACAACTCAAAAGAACAAAGCATAACAATTGGCATTACAATACTCGTTATGACCTGTTACACATGTCTTTATTTTATAATAATCGTAATAATGTGACTTTTACGTTATGTTTAAGTGTTTAACTAAATGTTCTACCAATATAGAAACAATTAATGTTGCTATAGTAAAAAAAATAACATCTAGTACTCCGTATAACAACATGATGCAAAAGTCCAACGGAGATAGTATAGTGTAATAGGTCGTAACATTTATAAAATTGTATTGTACTTTGACTATATATTTTACCAATATATTAAAAAAAATGTTGCAGCGTGAAATATTTTTGGATTATGTATACTTTTAATATATCAAAATTTTATAGTTTTTTACAAATATATGAATACAAATATTAATAGTCAAAGGTGTGCATTGGACTGGCATTGGCATGTGAATAGTCAAACTATCACAATTATTATGAAACGTATAGGGCATTATTATTTACTGAAAAAAAATCCAAATATGATACAATAGAAACATACTCTGTAAATTATTTCGAACTTGATTATATTGATCAATGTCTCACAAAAGCTTCCTTTATTTCTTAATAAGGTGCAATTCTAATGGACCCTATACCAACTGTTTTGCAGACTTCGTTGTTGGTCATAGTAACGCCTCCATCAACCTGCTTGTAGTTCGTAAACCACTCTATGTGTGAACACATATGATAAGACACCCCGGAATCTCTAACCCACACATCATAGTGATGCGCATGTTCATCAACAATCTAGACATGATCCTCTTCTAAATAGGTGTCTCCTCTAGAATATCTACAAACTCATAATTTTACTGTTGTCTCATCTTCTTGGGACATTCAGATTTTCAATGCCCCTTCTCCTTATAGTAATTATAGACATCACTAGGTTTGGACCCCTAGAATATGATTTCCTGCATTTTCTCCTTGAATTCCCTTGTCCATTACCTTCATAGGATACTAATCTAGCAAACTGATCATCTCTTTCTAGTATGGAGAGCAGATTTAACCTTCTCTAGAAAAATTGTCTCTTTACCAATAATACAATACTACACAAAATTCTCATATAACACCAGAAAGACACTAAAAGAATTAAGGCAATATTTTCATCCTCAACCTTAACATCGTTATTACGTAATTCTAACATAATAGAATTTAATTGATTTAAGTGATCTCTAAGGGATGTACCTTCAAACATTCACAGACCATACATATGTAGCTTCAATAACAACTTGTTGGTTAAAGACTTCGTCATATATAGATTCTCCAGCTTCAACCACAGACTTGATGTGGTTTCCTCCTCTACGACCTCATTGATAACATCATCTTTAAGACACAACATAATTGTTGAGTGTGCTTTCTCCTCCAAGACGGCAATCTCAGAGGTATCCGGACCCAGTGACTTCTTTGTCAATGGCGCTCATAATCCTTGTTGCCTCAACAAGGTCCGCATCTTAATTTGCCACAGACTAAAATAATTTCTCCTTGTGAATTTGTCAATTTTAACATTCAAAATAGTCATCTTTTTCACCATAATTAAACCGTATGTAGGCCCGGCCCCAAACCTAAGCTTTGATACCAATTTGTTATAATGGATGCATAATAAATATTGAATGCAACATTAACAAGAAAAACACACACAAATTTATGTGGTTCACCAATAATGTGTTGGCTATGTCCATGGGCAGGCGAGAGCAATAGTTTTATTGATCTTGGGAAAACAAATTCCAAATTTAGAATAGATTTGAGACCAATCATTAAAAAAAAAAAAACAGTTGATTATCTCTTAGATTTCTAATGTTATCTCTCTTGTATTTCACGGATGAAAATTACACAAATTAAATGACCCCCAGATTTCCAGATAACCATTCAACATATTCGGCTAGGAGTAACCATAAGTGGTGTTTATAACTCTCCAAAACAAAATCTGGATTTGGGTCAAAGACAAACAATAACCACAAGGGTGGAAAACCACACGGCTGTGTATGTACCTTGAACCACATGTAGGGATGTCAGTGGGGCGGGTCTAGTAGGAGACCCGCCCCATCCCCACCCCGATGGGGCAGGGATGGGTCTAGCTTTGGCGGGTCGCGGGGCGGGGATGGGTCTAAAATCCATACCCGCCATGGGTGATGGGGCGGGGGTGGATTTAAAGTAATACCCGCCCCATCCCCGCCCCGCCCCGCCTGACCCACCCCATACCCGCCCCGCCCCGCCCCGCCTGACCAACCCCACACCTGACCCATACCCGCATTATACCCGACCCGTCCCATATAATGCAATAACATATTTCGTTAAATATTATACAGCAAAAAAAAATGTTACTGACTTGATTAAGGAAGTCTCTAGACACTAGACTTCTAGAAGAAAAAAAAAAAAAAACCATATTCATTTTCATTCTCAACCCTAGCCGACACTATCACTCATTCACTCTCCTCTCCTCTCCTCTCCTCTCAAGCTCTATCAATCAGACAATCACCACCTCTGAATCTCGCCGCTGAGTTGTGCGCTGATCAACACTCCGATCTACATAATCCCTACCTCTTCCTATATAATCGGTACTATCTCAATCTCTCTTACTCGTTTTTTTTTATTTATTTTAATTTCCCAATTATTTTTTCCCCAATTATTGATGAAAAAGAATTTGACAAATCAACTAAGAAATTGATTAGCCATAATTCT